TTCTGGACATTTATGGTTTGATTTCTTTGTATGTATGGATCACTTGGGTTRTTACCGACATCTGGTGAAAATTTCATGTCATGAGCACCTCTAGTAATATATTTACTGAGAAAAATGGTGACGTGTTCAATACTTATTACCCGCTGTATGTACTGTATATTCTCTACGTTCTGTAACAGACTGATTGATCTTTCTTTTACCATCCCAGCCTTTCACTTTGACATCTACACTGCCAGATATCCCCTCACCTCTCATCAAACTTGCACATCTGTGTTTGAGCTGCACTTCAAATATCTAATTTGATTAATTAGTTTGATTAATTTGATTGATTTAATTATCTAATTTCCCCTCTGGGATCAATAAAGTATTTTTGAATTGACATTGCTGGACCACAGGTACCACTCGTTTTTTACGAACACATTTTGAATTCTGATTTTAATACTATCTTTCAGTGTCAGATAACCAGGATGATGTCATCATCCTGCGACCAACATCAACATGGCCGCTGCTAGCCACCGCTCTTTTTCTTTCAGAAAGCTCTAGTTTGAAGTGCAGCTCAGACACCAGCCATAACTGCAAGTTTTCTACTTGAAAAATTTGACACAGTATTAGAGGACCAGCACTACAGTGGTTGTCTAGTTATTTAAAGGACAGGAAACTTTGTACAAACAAATTATACAAGATCTGAATTAAGTAGTATTGCATGTGAGGTTCCTCAGGGTTCTGTACTTGGACTKAAGTTGTTTATTTTATACGTAAATGATTTAGTAAATGTGTCAGGGTTGTTCAAATGTGTTTTATTTGCAGACGACACTACATTTTTTTGTTTTGGTAAAAATGTAGAACGGATGTTGGAAATGATGCAGATAGAATTAGCTAAAATACAAACCTGGTTTAAACTTCATAAATTATCATTAAATATAGATAAGACTAATTATATGATATTTAGTAGAAAGAAAACAACTGATGCTCCATTTAGAGTCGAGGGTGTTGAGAGTTGTAGAGTCAGTGAGGTGAAGTTTTTGTTTGGGYGWCATCATAGATGAAAAGCTAACATGGAGACCTCATGTAAATCATTTAAGAACAAAAATAGCCAAATCCATTGCAGTATTATACGAAGTAAATGATTTATTTAATGATAAATGTCTGTTTATATTATATAATGCAATAATTGTTCCACACTTGATCTAATATATTGATGTTGGGGGAAAATCATGCAAAACAATTACAAATCCTATTTTTGTTTTACAGAAAATCGCTGTAAGAATTATCACCAGAAAGCATTATTATCACCCATCACATTCATTGTTCCATCAGCTGAAGTTATTGAAATTTTATGATTTGATTTCTATGATTTCATGAGTTTGTCACCGCTGGCCCCGGGGGCTGTGTGTGTGGTCGCTGGGGGGACTCTCCCAGTTCTCCCCTATGGTCTGA